CGATTAACGATTACTCCTAAGAAAATATTAAAAAATAATAAGTAAAGTGCTCTTATGTTAATAAGATATTTGGATGAGGACTTTGTTTTTTACTTCAAAAAGAGCAAACCCGATTCGAATTCAAAGATTCCGGAAGAAGATCTTGAGATCTTTGTTCAAAAATGGCCATTTTCAGTTCAATCTCACTCAACATAGAGTTATGCAGTAAGTATATTTTTTAGCATAAAACAGAAGCCGAAGCTTGTAAATTCAAATTTATTGAAGGTTGAAAGATTGTTGCTATAGGTTTAACGAAATAATTTTACTAAAAAGTTTACTACTATATGTTACACAAAATCGTTTTACTATGAAAATCATCGACGGGGAAATGTCCTGTGACTGGTATACTTACTTTCACAGATATAGTAATTTTGTAGTCTTTTTTATAAAATGCAAAATTGTTCAGTTAGCTTTATTCAGTAATTAAAAAGAAGTATCTTATTACAAAGTGTAGGTTTTGTAAGTTTTTTGTTATTAAATTAAGTGTAATAAAATATTCTTCTAATAATTGTTTAAAGTTGTATATTTTGTATAGCTTTCTTATTATAGTTTTTGTTTGTAATTATTATTTTATAGAAAGTCTAAAAGAAATTATTTGTAAAATTTCACTAGATATTTCTCTTAAGTTTGCTAAGAGTAAGTTTAATTGTACTAAAAAGGCAGCCTACATTACCTGTTGTATATTCTGAAAGTTAATTAAAGTTTTGTCTTTAGTAAAATTTTTGTAGTATTTAATTAAAAAGCAAACCATTTAAGATGTATTTGTTATAAAATTAGTATTGGTTAAATATTTAATTATAATTTTCTGTTTAAGCTTCATATGTATAGTATCTTTAATTGTTTTGGTTGTTATTATAATTTTATATATTGTTTTATAGTTTTCTATTGTTGTCTTAAATAGAGCTTTATAGATAACCTAATACTAAAATATGAAGCATTTGTTTTTTGTAAAAAAAAAAAAAAAAAGATGAGTCTCAGTAATTGAATTTGGTTTTGATTACTAGGTTAGATAGAAAGTTAATAGGTTTGGTAAGCAGTTTGTATTCTAAAAGTTATAATTTTTTTTTAGTTTTAGTCAGCAATAATTTAATTGTAATTTCATAATTTTTTATTAAAGATTTATATAATTTTTTTTT